CCATGATATTCGATAACCATATAAGTTGGCTGATAGTACAAGGGCGTAAGATATTGTGAACCACTGCCTACATTTGTCTGCCTATTGTCAATCCATTTTCCAATCAGAGCAGTGAGGCCGGGTGCCTTCACTTCGGAAATGTATGGAAGTTCTTCTTGTAAACCGATTTGAGCCGCTGGATGTGCTGGTGCTGCTGTTAGGCACGCTGGCGAGGAAGTGTAAGTATTTTGTTGAGACGATCCTGCATATTGATTTGAAGCTGCGGATGGGTCGTGCGCAGGAGCTGAGTAAATACCCAGTTCTGTACTTGGCGTCTGCGATTGTGAGTCTGAGTATGTGTGTGATGATGAATCTTGATTGGAGGTTGTGTAAGAGGCTGGCTCCGCCGCTGGTGCTACGCATTTTTCGGCGGATGTGTACGAAGCTGGAGCTGCTGATAGATCTTGGCTAGGGCTAACATAAATTTCCGAAGTAGGTGCTGGTGCCGCATAGTGTGATTGCGCGGCTGCTGATTGTACCAACGCTGGTGCGCTGTAATTTGGGTCTGGAGACACATAAGTTTCAGCGTTGGACCCTTTTGCTTGGTTTGGATAAGCCATTGCTTCTGGAGCTGCCGCATAATCAGCTACTGAATAAGACGCCGGGGCTTTGTCAGAAGTGGATGGAGAAGGATCCGAAGTTGAAGCGTCTTCCGTTGATGGTGCTGAGTAAAGGGCTGGAGCTGGAGGTGAGTAAGTATCTGCAGATGGGATTGAAGCATATTCCTGTGATGGTGATGAGTAAAGAATCGGTGTTGGAGGTGGTGCTGGAGCTGAATAAGAATCGACTGTTGGATCTGAAGCATATTCCTGTAATGGTGATGGTGCTGAACCTACAGCAGGTTTGGAGTAAACGTTTTCTTCTGGATCTGTAGCATATTTTTGGGCTGTGTTAGAGATAGCTGAAGCTTGATACGATGATGGGCATGCATATTGTGCAGCTGCTGGAGCATGGTGTGCCACTTGCTCTTGAGCTGAGTACGTGTCTGAAGCAGAGGCATATTCTGGAGTTGGGTTAGCGTAAGGCGCCGGTTCTTGGCCAGTAGCTCCGTCATGTGCACTATTTTGCACTGGAGATATGTATGGGGCTGGATTTGGCTGTAATTCTTGTGCAGGATATGAGTACGATGCTGGGGTGGCTGCTGGATACTGATTTAAAGCTGGAGAAGGAATTGCAGCTAGAGAAGGTGGGTAAGAGATCGATGCTGGATCTTGGTCTATGGCTGTATATGGCCTCGAGATTCCAGTTCTACTTTGATCAGGAGATGCGTATGCAGCCGAACTTTCCCCAGCAGTTGAATAAACTGCTGGCACTTGGTCTGAAGTTTTATAAGACTCAGGATCAGACTCTGAGTAGGAAGATGCTACTGGATCAAGTTCAGAAGCAGCATAGGAGGGCGAGCTTTGTTCTGAAGGGCAAGTGTTTGCGGCTGGACTTGAATACGGTGCAGGCGCTGGCGCAAGGTAAGAAGCCTGAGCAGGATCGAGATAAGCAGAAGATGATGCAGATGGCGCCACGTAATAGTCACGCTCAGACGCTGATCCCTGGCTCTGAGTTGCGGCTGGAGAAACGGAATAAGTTGGAGAATCAGATAGATCAGCAGAAGGGATTGCCGGTGCTGCTACGTAATACTTCGGATCCGAGCTTGATTCCTGTGCCTGAGCTGGCATCGGTGCAGCATAATAGGAAGTAGAGAGATTCGCAGAAGGTGTCGGCGCTGGTGATGGCGCAACATGATTGTCTGGCTCTGAGTTCGCGCCCTCAGCCTGAGCTGGTGTCGGAGCACCGTAATAAGCAGAGCCAGAAGGTGCAGGTGATGGATCTGGTACAGCGGAATAGCTTGGCTGTGAGCCCGATCCCGGTGCTCGTGCTAAGGTCTGTGCATTATAATATATAGGAAGAGAAGCAGGATTAGCAGATGGGGACGGCGCTGGAGCTGATGCGGAATATCCTGGTTCGGTGTTAGATCCTTGCGCTTGAGCTGGTGCACCGTAAGCGGCTGGAGAAGGATTGGTGGAAGGTGCGGGCGCTGGTGCTGGTGCTACGTAATAGTCTGGGTCCTGTGTTTGAGCTGGCGCACCGTAAGACGCTGCCGGAGGATAAGCGGAAGGTGCTGGTGCTACGTAATAGTCGGGCTCTGAGCTCGATCCCTGTGTTTGAGCTGGTGCACCGTAAGCGGCTGGAGAAGGATAAGTGGAATGTGCTGGCGCTGGTGCTGGTGCTACGTAATAGTCTGGGTCCTGTGTTTGAGCTGGCATACCGTAAGACGCTGGAGCATGATTAACGGAGGGTGCTGGTGCTACGTAATAGTCTGGCTCTGAGCTCGATCCCTGTGCTTGAGCAGGCGCACCGTAATTGGCAGAAACTGAAGGTTCTGTAGTTAGTGCTGGAGCTGGGGCTGGCGCTGGCGCTGGATCAGAAACATAAGACGGATATCTTGAAGCAGATGCTGGTTCTGCGGTCGTCGGACAAGGACCAATACCAATGATTATCCATTCTATAATTTTTTAAGAAAAAATGTCTTTAAAGAGAAATGCTAGACACAAGGACAATGTGCTACTTACGTTGCCGCGATTCACAAATCAGTTGATTTACCAAACAGGCATTGGGTACCGTCCTCAAAGTACCGGTAGGAGTTAGTTGCGCGCAAACTGGCTGGTAAATGGCTGGGCATATTATGCCCCCACAATTGGAGAAACAATCCTCTAGTGCTACTCTAGTGGGTTCTATGGAAAATATTATATTTCAGTGAAAGCCTATAAGAACGTACTTAGAAAGCAATACTCACTCGTTTTACCAGCAAAAAGTTGTTTGTAACTGTAAACATTCAGCTTACACTCGTTCTCGAAGTAAATAATTTCGCTGCCATCTCTAGCGCATACCGGCTCACCACCATCGGGGCAGAGCGGCGTATCCAGCGTGCAGCGCACGGTGCCAATTAGGAAGCCTACTAAAAGTATTTGCCACATTTTCTCAACAGCTGTGTAACTGGTGCAAAGTTTGAAATGTTTTGATGCGAACTTGAAGGTTGCATTACTTTTATACTCATGCCGCAATAAAATGCTCACATGAGACTAAGAACTGTACTGCATAGAAATTGCAATTCTTTTAATATTTTTTTCTTTTATCATCAAATGTGCTTTTGCAGCAATTAACCAATCTGTCTCTGCCATTTGGGCAGCACATTGAAGTTTTGACCAACTATGTGTGTGTGTCATTAACCAATGTCTCGGCGCTTATCGCATGCGCTCTTGCTATGACCGCGGTCTTCTGCAACATGTACGTGCTTGAACGCTCGATAAATAGCTAAGCTGTACGACTGCATACGCATTGTCTTAAGCACAAAGTCCATTGAAGAATATGCATAGTTAGTAGCGAGACCAACAGATTTTTGTTTACTATATTTTTGAATACAAATTGTGAGTCAGAATTGAAAAACCATAACAAAAAGCATCTTTTTTCATTTTAAGAAATTTGAGTTGACATCCAAAACGATATCTGAGAGGAGAGTATTTATCTTTAGTTAATTTTTCGGGTACTAGACGCAACAAAGTTTGGTTTTGTTTTGCACTTCGTTCTATTCTAATTTTCTTCATTCCAACCGATAAGAGCGTTGCGTTGCATATAGCTCAACTGAAAGTGCAAAGCAGAAAAGAGAAAAGTGAACATCAGAGGTATTCGCTCCAAAACGATATCGACCAATAAATAGTAAGGAAATAAGAGGAAGAGATGACGCGAAACACCACAACCGACAGCTGGAGCGCCCAGCTCGTTTTTAGAATTATCGGGCCGGTGCTAATTTATCGGGCACCAGCAACACTAGCACTCAGGCCCCATGGTTTTACGGGCCGATGCGTAGGATGCGGTCCTACTCGCAGTTGCGCGCCGGGGCAGAACTAAGTGAACGTTGAAGAGGCAGAGGCACTTAGACTGCAGGTGAGTAGGCAAAACTAATAGTGGTGCCAGGCTAGGCGACGAGGGATTTGATGTCGGTACCAGATTTGGCCGACATTGCACCCCATGGTCGAAGCACACACCGACCACCGTTTAAGTATAATTTTTATTTCTCTATGTTTGGACGTAATTGTTGGTAGGCCTCCTCCCTTTGTGCTTCCCCATCCCTTTCTATCGAGCATCCCGCACCCTGAACCCAGTCACTTGACGGGTTAAAGATATCCCCGACAGCGGNGGGGGGGGGGGGGTAGTGCGAGTGGGTTGGTAACCTTTTGGTTGGACCTCACCTCGGGTGCACCAATAAATAAGTTTTTTCTTTGTTGTTATTGTCTTCTTACGTTACAGTGACGTTGCAGGAAACTGCATAGCTAGTGAATTGGCTAGAAAAGACATGCTTCTGGTCGTCTCTCCTGACAGTGAAAGAGTGGAAGTTCCTGTGCTATTATTGTGAATTTGTCTTCAACTTTTCTTCTAGTTTGACTCTACACTTTCGTCGGTTTGGGCCGAGATCAAAAACCTTCGACAATTGTCTCTATCCTTTGTTGCGAGGTTGCGCCAGTTGTACATCCTGAATGCAGATAGATCCTGCTTTACTTGATCATTCCATTGTGTTTGTGGGCGCCCTTTCGTTGACTTCCACAGGTGCCAGGAGACAACCATGCGTACATCATGCCCAATCCAGCATAATTATTGTATTTTTAAGCTCGTGCAGTTCGTCATTCCATCTTCTTCGGTGCACGTCCCTTACGTGATCTTGCGTAGAATAGTTCGCTCGAAAGCCCCAAAATCCTTTTTATCTTTGTTTGACATCACCCATGTTTATGCGCAATATAAATTACGGAATTGCTACCGAGCACACAGTAACAACTGTGGGCAAGAATTATTCTTCGCTGAAATTTTTAGTGGTGTTTATACTGGATCCTAGGCAGACAAAGTCTACCACTACTTAAAAGTTACTTCTGCTAAGGTGATCGTTAGGAGCCTTTATGCGTTGCTAGCTACGTTGTCTTGTCTACGTTTATACCTAGACCAATCTCTTTAATTTTTTTCTTACCTGCGAAAATGCTACCCTGATCTCCCTAGTTATCAGGCGGACGATGTCAATACCAACCTCCGCAACAGTTAGGTTTTTATTTGGCTTAGCGTGCGCTGAGCTAAACCTCCGACCTGCAAGGTTTCAAAGCAACTTTGGCCAGTAGACGACTGCGCGCGTTCAATAGAGCTTTACAACTCGCTAGGCGCCGACTTTCATTTGCTGTAATACGAACCCAAGTGGTACAGCCTGATACCTCCCCGGACTCCGCAGCTGATTGACTGTTGACGAATCACAGCATTGACTTCTCAGCTGCCCTGCTAAGGTTTATAAATCTGCTTAATCCTCCTCCTTTTTACGCTACTTGCTCAAAAAACTTCTATCCGTCTTTCGAATGACGGCCTTAATTATTTTATCTTGAAATGTCGCCTGGGACATGCCACGCAAAACTTTGGTGACTTATCTTTTACCAAATGTGTTTAATGTCATTACCCGTAAGGACACTCATATATTCCTTTGTAAACCAATTTCACAAAATCTAAAGCTGATTCTGTCTAAATAATGTGTGTTTTTTTTTAAGTTCATCTGTCATACAAATTTCCTTCCAACTTTGATGCCACAAAATAAAAAGTTTCACCTTCACTTTAACACTGACCAACCTCAATCANGCACATCATATGACATTTTCTTAGCACGCAGTCACCTTGACTAATCACTTAAGCCAGTGTTTACTTAGAGGCGCTCACTGCGTTCAAAAATTATACACACTCTCCCTCACAAATATTTCAATATTTTTAGCTGGTCTTTAGCTGAGTTACCTCAATCCGGGCTTGTGCTAAATATCAATCAAAATTTGAGCTAAATTATGTAAATTGACAACCGGCAGGTGATAGAGCTTGTGAGAGTACAAGCGAGCGCCACTGAGTGCTTGTGAGCATTTCAGTAGTTTCTTTTTTCAAATAAGCCGGCTTGAGCACATGCGCTTGCAGAGTATTTATTTGCTGGTGGCCAACTAGTTATCGCTTGATCAAGTCGAGCTCAAATGAGATACGATTTGTGGTAGAAGAGAGTGAGAGCATAACCACGCGCTGTACTGCGGAAATGTGCGCTTCGAAGGCCAGCTAATACGAGCTCAAAATATAAACAAACGGCAAGTGAGCATCAAGCCATCAGCTTATTGGTATTTCTTCTTGGTGGTAACAGCACTTTAATTGTCGTCGATCTAAGCCACGTTTGCGCTCTGTTACTATTTGCTGGGATGTTCAGTTGCGTTTTAGCGGCGTTCCGAGTTGTACGTGTTTTTCGCTTAAATCGTGTTTCACATCTATGTTTCTTTTTCTGACAGTCTTTGTTTTTTTTGTTTGTGAGTAGTGTGTTGAGCAGTGCTTAGTGTGGAAATTCCTGATTTTCTTAAATGGGAAAATTCTCCGGAATAAACATAGCTAAGAACACCGGGTGCAAAGCTGTACTCGTATGAAATAAAGTGTGGCAAAGTTGTGTTGACCAAGAAGTAAAGCAGATACATGAAAATTGTGTGATAAAAGTATATAAAGTGAAGGATTTACAACTGCATTGAGGAATAAAAAATTCAACGGTAAAATAACAGTAAAAGAGGGGAAGGCATATTTTATAGGCGTATCGCAGCGAAATTTTGGCGGCTACTTAAATGACAAAGGTATTAAAAATTTTTATAAATAGTTTAAGGGCGTAGCATAGATGCTGTGATATGTATTTACTTGATTTTCAAAGCTGCATGTTTTGCCTTAAAATGCAGAGTTTCTTGCCATTTTTCAATTATTATTTTAAATTGTTTTTTTCTAAGTATACTCTGATAAAACCGCTACTTTCTTTGTATATTTTTTAAGGGTCGTTTTTTTAAAACGCATAGCATCAAAAGTAAAGAAAAGTATCTATAAGATATAAAAGTATCTTAAACTACCGACAAGCATTTCTTCGTTTGTAAATTGCAAAACTATCTTTGAGATACAAAAGTATCTTGAGCTGGCAACATCTCTTTCATATCTATTGGTTTACTCATTATTTATATACAGGACCTTTTTATGCAAGTATCTTTGAGATGCTAAAAATATTCGTCAGCTACTAAGACTGAGAATTCTAAAATATTTTCCTTGACACTTCTTTTTTTAAATGTTCTGGAACCAGAAATTTTACATATACTCAAGAAAATTACATCCGAGCTGAAAAAAGTATACCAAAAAAAAAAATCATGGAACTTTACTCATGAAAAATATGTTTTAATAGATATAAGGAAATCTCTCTAAACAGCTCTAAGTATTAACTAAATATTCTTAAAATTGGTTCCCTCGTAGTATTCGATAAAAAAAAAATATCTATGAGATACAAAAATACTAATAAACGCTTTAAGATTGATGAACGGATATTTTGAATGTATGTATGTAATATATTTAGACAATATTTATTATTTATTTTGAAAGAATTTACAAAAGTATTTATCTTAAAAAAAGTTATTATCGGAGGGCTTATCAATTATTTCTACAGAAGTAGGCATGATAAAAATATTACAAGGTAAATTCATTCTCTCAATTCGTCGGCCATGATCATTTTTCTGACGTTTGCGAGCATTTTAAAATCATATACAATTTAAAATAAAAAAATTAAATTGTTCGCAATTGTTGTTCTTTGAGATTAAAATGAGAATGTTTGTGTGTGTTTGAGTTTTGAATTTTAAAATTATATTGCTGGGAAACGTCACACTGCCTATCAATGGTTTTACCTTTTTATGTTTTTATCATGGAAGTATGTATATAAAATTTCAATATTCTAGACTTACAGTTAGCTTTCTAAGCTTCAGTTAAATTCGAAATCTTATCTTATCTTAGTTTCCTTGCAAAAAGTATCTCCAAATACAAAGACGCTTATTATTTAGGGAATTTTTAAAACCAAAAATTAATTAAGAAGAAAATCACAAAACTACTTATCGAAGCCTATAAGAAAGCAATA